TGTGTGATTGGGGGAAGATTTGATTTAGACAATCATGGGAATGTGGGGGTGCAACTGTACTAAGATTTACATAGGTATTTGTGTTGAGTTGAGCAAGAATAGTTATAATTGGAGAAAGGATAAAAAAGCGTTGGATGTTCTGGTCATAAGAGTTGAACTTATGTTGAAGAAACTTCTAAGGGCAGTCAATCAGAGTTTATGGTGACACTGGGAATTGAAGAGAAATTGGCCACTGGGGGGATAAGGAGGTCTCTAGCATCATGGATAGATTGGAATCTTTGATGACAGATCAAGCAGTCTGTAAGGTTACCTCCCTTAGCAATGGCCTGGGTGACACAGATGAGGGCCTTATCTTTCCAGGCCAATGCCAGAGTAAAGGGAAGAAAGAAAAGAAAGGGTTTTATGTTTAGTTAAATAATGAAGCTTTCATCCAGCATCTTGGGTAGAAGCATTCTATATGGTTGTCAGCCACTTCTCTTCCGTCATTTTGATTTGGAAGTCTCCAGTGTCTGTATAGAACTACATGTCATATGGAGTCTTCTTTACCTGTGAGATATGTATCCAAGACTCAATGCCTTCTAGTTTTTCAGCAGTGCCAGTGGTCAGGGGCACTTGGAAGGTCCCTTCCAGCAGGGCTCTAGGGCTGTCTTCTTCTGATATGGTTTCCGGACACCCAATCACCAGGTTCCAGACTATGACCAACAGGATCTTCTGAATTGGGTTCCAGCAAGGTTTCTTCAAGTTGTCGATGATATGCTTTGGCATATGGCATTAAAGACTTACAGGAGCTGGTCATATCAGCATGACACAATAAAGGATCAGCAGAGAGTTGTATTCCAATAGACATTAACCTATTGATGACTACCTCATGTGGAGTGAGTTTATGTTTCCCAAAGTAGGTCTCTGAACTGTCAGCAAGGCCAGAGGCAATACCTTAGGCCAAGGGGGTCCAGTAGTTTCAGCAAGTTTAGAGACTGAGTTTGACAGTCCCATTAGTTCTCTCAACCTTGTCTGATGATAGAGAGTGATAGGCATAGTGATAATTCCAAGAAGTTCGCAAGGTTTTTTGCTAAGGCTCCTATGTCCACTGAAGTGGGTGCCTTGATCACTGGAGACTGTGGGAGGTATACTGAGTGGGAAAAACATTTTCTAACAGTTTCTTTGACACTGTGAAGGCATCAGCCTTGTGGCAGGGGAAGGCTTCAGCCCATCCAGAATGTATACATACAATAACAAGACTATGTTGATAACCCATACTGGGTGCCTGTTGAGTGAGGGCCAACTGTAGGTGCTCAAAGGGTCCAGAGGGAGAAGGTTTGATACCTCTGGGGACAAAAATAGCTTTTCCAGGTTTATGGAACTGACAGATCAGACATTGGTGGTAAACTGTTTTTACATTTTTGAAGGAGTCTCCCCACCAATGCTTATTCATAATTTGAGTCATCCTAAATGCACCACAGTGGGTGAAGGAATGTAAACACTGAGAGATGGGGTTTGCCAAGGATCTGGGAAGAACCAAGCCATCTCAAGTTTCCCATAGCTCTGACTGTTCATCGAAATTTAACCGTTGTTTTGCTTTTCTTAATTTCTCTGATTCAGGACTAGACTGTTGCCGTGTTGCAAGAACATTAAGGTGGCAAAAGTCTGGCAACATGATGTCTTTTTTTTTTTTTTTTTTCAAAAACAGAAAGGAATTCAACTACATTTGCTACAACCTTTATAGATTCTGTTGCTGCGGCCTTTGCATGAAAGTCAGCTAGGACAGTCTTCTGATACTCAGGTTTGGTCTTTTGCCTCAATTTTGATGACAGCAATTTCAGAAGATAAGAGAATAACATTAAGAAGGTTGTATACTTGTTTTTTTTTGGTTGGGGTATCAGTGGGAATAAGAAAACCCCTTTGTTTCTAAAACATCCCCAAGTCATAGATGACTCCAAAGGTATATCAGTATAAATATTAACAGTTTGTCCTTTTGATAATTGGCATGTTCTGGTAAGGGCCTGGGGTTCTGTTTGTTGGACTGATTTAGCTTGTGGGAAATTTCCCTTTTCAAGTAGTTCATATTGGGCAGTAACAGCATATTAGCAATTTTCCAAGTTACAGTTTGGAAATCCCCTTTTTCATTTTTACAGTATGATCCACCAACAGAAACGATTAGATCAAGATTGTCAAAGACATGTCTTGTAAATCAAAAGGTGGTGTCACCAAATGGGATGTTATTACCTCACAGTCATGGGGCTGGTCTTCGTCAGACAAGGGTAAAATGTAACAGGATTTTGGAATGTGCAACGTTAAGGATTTAGATAAAATGGTGAAAGCAGAAAGATCTCATAGGAAGTTAGTCTGCTTGCAGAGAAATGTTGAGTCAATTCAGAGTTAAGAAGACTTTGGGACAGCGTGTGGAGTTTATAAGTAAATGTCATTTCCTAGGGTTAAATCCACTGAAGCTTCTACTAATTTTGCAGCTGGAGTTCCATAGCCTTTAGGCAGTTCGGATATGCACAGACAACTGAATCATGTTGTACACTATAATAGGCAATAGGGCTATGTTTATTACCATGTTCTTATGTGAGCATTCCCAGGGCATGGTTATCTCCTTCATGCACAATTAAGGTGAAAGGTTTGGAATGGCTAGGTAACCCTTGGGCAGGCAGTTCTTGTAATACTGGTTTTAGTCTTACAAAGGCCTGCTCATATTTCTGTTCCCAAGGAAGAGGTTCAGGGACTGAAATTTTAGTAAGTTCATAGAGTGCAGCAAAAAAAAAAAAAAAAAAAAAAAATTAAGAACCCATGGTCTGCAGTAGCTAGCAAGACCTAGAAATCCACGAAGTTATTCCTTAGTTGTGGGCCTGGGAAATTATTGGATGAGCTTAATCCTTTTTGGCGATAGCTGGAATCCTTCAGCACTTAGATTATGACTTAGGTAATAAACAGTGTCCTTAAATACTTACAATTTCTCTTTAGATATTTTGTCTCTTTTCAGTTAACTGTTATAAACAAATAAATGGGATCCTTTATGGATTGGTAACTGAACATAGCAAGATTGTCTACATATTGGAAAAGGGTGGTTTTTCTTTAAATCTTATGGAGTACTTGAGAGAAATAAGAAGGGGTCTCAGTGAACCTTTGAGTCATGACTGTCTAGATACACTGTTGATTGTTCTTAGTAAAAGCAAATGGATATTGGCTGTTAGGGTCCTCAGGGATGCTGACAAACGCTGAACAAAGGTCTGTAACAGTGAACAATTTTGAGTCTGGTGGGACTTATAACAAAAAGCTTTTCAAATTTGGAACAACTGGGAAATAAGGGAATATCTACCTTATTAATAGATCTTAGGTCCTGGACAAATCACCATCTCCAGGCATTAGGTTTTTGGGCTGGGAAGACTGGCGTTAGAGGAGCTCCTGCAGGGAATGTGAACCCCTGGGCAATCTGGTCTTCTACTATTGGTGTGAATCTCTGTATACCTTCAGGCTTTAATGGATATTGAAGTAACTTGGGAAGAGGTTTACTTATGACTTTTTCTAGGTTCTGCATTTTTATTCTCCCTATATCAATATTAGAAGTAGCCCAGTTTTTCAGGCACCATGATTAAATTAGGGGACTTTTGTTGGAATCCTTCCTCTTCTATCAAGGACAGATTGTAAGGAACATGAAAGTTCAGGTTCAGGCTGGTCAGGAAACTCTAAGGTAAGGTCTCCATTGGAGGCAAAATGCATTAGCCCTTTTAATTTAGAAAGAATATTTGTCTGTACCTTAATAGATTGACTGGGGTTCTATCACATAGCAAAAACGAATGTTTTTCAGGGGCTCCTGGGTGGCTCAGTCATTAAGCATCTGCCTTCGGGTCAGGTCATGATCCCAGGGTCCTGGTATCGAGCCCCGCATCGGGCTCCCTGCTCAGTGGGAAGCCTGCTTCTCCCTCTTCCACTCCCCCTGTTTGTGTTCTTTCTCTCGCTATATCTCTCTCTGTCAAATAAATAAATAAAATCTTAATTTTTTTTTTTTTTTTTCAGTAAGAGGTATCAGTCACTTGTACTGGTTGAGACAGAAATTCGCTCAAAATTTTACTAGATACCTTCACTATGGAAACTTTTTCACTCTGAAGGATTTTTTTTTTTTCCCCTGAAGGATTTGTTGTCCCATGAGAGTGGGGTTTAAAGTAGCAAGTATGGGCTCTAATATCTACTAGAATTTGGTCAGGTTTCCCATTGATTTTAATTTTAGTTTCCCCTTAGCCGCTTACGGGAATTATTGGTACCGGTTTACAGAATAACCCCTCGGAGTCCCAACAACTCTGGGAGGGACTCATGTGGGGGCCTTTCTTTGGGGGTAGACATGAGGGCATTCAACTCTGTATGAACTGAAGAATTTATACAGGACCTTTGAGAACAGTCTTCTTCCCAGCGTTGGGGTTAATAGCAAATCAGACATCCATCTGTGGGGCACTGTTTTGATGATGGACCCCTAGGGGGTGCAATGTGAGAGGCCCAATGTTAACTAAGGTCTCTGGCCTTGGACCTGTTGTAGTTGTAAAGCCAGTAGTTTCATGGACTTGTGTTTATGATCTTGTTCCAAAGTCCTTTCAAAGTGTTCAACTATGGTCATAAATTCTGTCAGACTGGTGGTCTCGTATCCTATTTTCTGCCTTTTTATAAACCCACTAATCTCAGGATATAATCCATTTACAAATAAGGCAGCTACCATATGGAATCTGGAATGCCATAAACAGACAGCTTCCAAACCGGCTTAAAGTCCGCCACAGATTCATCTTTTAAATTGAGACCTGCACCTGTCCCCAGCAGTACCCAATATGGAATTTGGGGAAGGATTCCAAACAAATAGGGAATTGTAGACTAAAATGCTAACACTTCCCAAAATGGAATCTGGATATAGAACGAAGGACTGGGGTTTCCAATCAAATGGAAAATTGTTGTCTGAACTACTAACAGTTCCCAGTAAGGAATAAGAATTCCAATCAAATGGGGACCTGCTTGGAACGCCAATAAGACTGGGAGCTCAATGCAAAGAGAGCAGAGGTCAGAACCAAGAGGAACTTACCCACAGTCCTTGGACACATCAAGAAAGACACAGAACTCAAAAGGGTTTGTGGGTACCATGACTGTGTTTCTCACTGTTCCCAAAACTGTGGGAAATCTCCTTCTGTCCTGATGTTGCCTCCAAATCTGTTAAAAAACAAAATTCAACTGAGTAAATTTGGCTTTAATATCTAATTGGCTTTATTCAACAATTCATGAATCAGGCAGCATCTCATCTAACAAATAGGAGCTCTGATGAGCTATACAAAATGGAAGGCTTTTAAAAGCAGAAAGGGGGCAAGACAAGGAAAAGAGTATATTGTTTCAGGTGAGGTCACCTTCCTTTTCGGGATGGAAAGGGGTCTATCAGGTGGATTACCTCAAAAGTGCAGAGTAGGTAATTCCAGATCAGCTGGTTAAAGGCTACAATCCTGGGAGAAGCTGAAACTCCAGTTATGTTAAGTATTAAGTCTTGGTTTGCTGATGTAGAGCTTAGCACTAATGACTCCATTTTGAGCCTGTTGTCTCCTCTAAGAATACTAAATCCAAAGCAAGCAGAAGAAAGGAAATAAGAAAGATTAAAACAGAAATAAATAAAACACAATGAAAAGAATAAAAACTGAAAAATAATGGAGAAAACTAATGAAACCAAAAGTTGATTCCTTTAAGTAAAAAAATTTATAAAGAAAAAGAGAATATACCTTTGTCTATGAATATACCCAAGAGAATTGGAAATAGATATTCACAGAAAAGTTTGCACACAAATGTCACAACAATATTATTCACAATAATCAGGAAGTAGAAACAACATAAGTGTTTAACAAATGATGAATGGATAAACAATGTGAGTGTTATTCTTCCATAAAAAGGAATTAAGTACAGATGTATGCTGCAACATGGATGGAACTTTAAAATATTGGGCTAGGTGAAAGAAGCCAGGGAGAAAAGGTCACATATGATAACATTTATACGAAATGTTCAGAACAGGCAAATCCTTATCTACGTAAATTAGATTATGGTTTCCAGGTGCTGGGGGAGGAGAGAATGGGGAGTGACTGCTAATGGAGGCATGGTGTTTAAAGATTTTATTTATTTATTTGAGAGAGACAATGAGATAGAGAGAGTATGAGGCGGGGAGGGTCAGAGGGAGAAGCAGACTCGCTGCTGAGCAGGGAGCCCGATGCGGGACTCAATCCCAGGACTCCAGGATCATGACCTGAGCCGAAGGCAGTCGCTTAACCAACTGAGCCACCTAGGCGCCCTGGAGGCATGGTGTTTCTTTTTGAGTGATGAAAAGGTTCTGGAATTGGATAACGGTGATATTGCACAACTTTGTGAGTACACTAAAAAATGCTGAATTGCACATTTGAAAATTGTTAATTTCATGGTACATGAATTAGCTCAAAAAAAAAAAAAAAAGACATCCATGATGATTTGCATAGCTGCATTATTCACTATAGTCCCCAAATGGAAGCAACCTAAATGTCCATTCACGGTATAAGGATAAATAATTTGTAGTATAGTCATATAACAGAATAGTATATGCCAATAACAATGAACACATTACTACTACACTAAGTAGTGTATGTGAATCTCACTAAAAGATCTTGAGTAAAAGTGACACAAAAGGATGCATGTTCTATGAATCAATTTGAGTACAGTTCAAGGTAATTAAAATTAATCTTCAGAGTTTAACGTCAAGACAGAAATTACAATTGAATAAGTGTGATAGAAAGTGATTGGGAGGGAGTTGGAGACTATAGGTAATGTTCTGTTTCTTGGCTTGAGTGGTAATTACATAAATATACTTATTTTTGTATTATTCATCAAGTTATATGCTTAAAATTTCTACATTTTTCTATGTACACATTATATTTCAATACAAATTTAAAATAATTTAAAAAACTAACTAAATATACTTCATCAATATGTAGATTTCCTCCACGCTTTTTCACCCATACTTTCTTAGGAATATGCCACTGTTACGTGTGTACTTCCTAAGCCAGTACCCAACAAGAAATTTGGTAAGATGTGATGACTTGCTGCTGAGTGTTATTTCTTTACCCCAAAACCCCATACGTCATCTTCTTAAGGACTTAGGACCTGCTTTACTTTTTTGGCAGCACAGTTTCCATCTCAGGTTCCTTCTAGAATAAAATCAGATCTCCCACAAAGAAACATAACCATTCTATATCCTAAGACATGAAAAAGCATAGGTAGGGAAGATAATGAGCTTTTGTTTAAAAAAAAAAAAGAAATATTTAAAAATAACATTCCAAATGGTTGAAGGTGAGCTTCTCTGACCTTTTCAAAAGACTTGCTTTTTCTCCCTGCAACACTGTGCCATGTGGGATAATTTCAAAAAGGTACTGCTGCCTCTGTAGGGTAACGCCCTAGAGGGAGTCTTCCTTGGCCCCTGTGAGGAAAAAAGAAAAAAGAAAAGAAAAATACTTCCATTTTGAAAAGAAGATCTCTTACTTAACTTTGATTTGGCAATAAATTCCCCTCATCATTTTTTTTTTTTCATAAACCAGTTGGAAGTCTTCTCTTACCCCTTGCAATAGACAGCACACTATCTGATAAAAAGTTAAAGCTCTGAATGAGGCAGGGATTAACTTCATACTTGATACTTGAAATAAAACCAATTTATTTCCAGCAAGTCGACTAAGGGGGTAAATAGTAGCATAAGAAAAGGATTGAAAAACACACAGGGACCAAAGAATGCAAGGCCTCCTCGGCCATGGTAAAGATTTACACCTGACTTTAAGAGTAATGGAAGGCCATGACAAGTTCTTAAGCAGAATGACATGATCAAATTTGCATTTGAGTTTCATTTTCGTTAAAATCAAAACAAATGTCCAAATAAATAAATGTCCACATAACCTCAGTGCCAATTGCTTTTTACCGATTGTAATCTATACAATATAAATGTCGTTTGTATAAATACTATGTGTGAAATATTAGTGAAGAGAGTGGTGAATAAAACTAGGTTATAATTTCTAACACCTCCCTTGGTATTTCAGTAAAATAATGATGTGTCAAAATAGTCTAGTTATAATTCTGATATTTGGCTTGCATTCAAATTGAGGTACTTCTTTGATTAACAAAGGCTTGCTGGAATTACTATTATAGAGCCTTACTTTAATTTCAAGAAACTAGGATTGGCAATATGTCAAAACTGCGGTGCCTTGGTATGTCACCGGCACATGTAAAAAGATAAAGTGGAAGGTAAATCAAAATCGTGATTCACTATAGACTGTCAGATATGGTTTCCTGAGATAAGAAAGTCCCAATGGAAATACCAAACTAAACACACACATACACACCACCCACAATGAATCATGACCAATATTCACTCTACGTAAAGTAAATAAATAAATACATAAAATTATAATAACATCCACCATTTCAGTGACACTGCCTTTGGAACTCAAATGTGCTGTTAGTATTTGGCAGAACTTCAAGCTGAGAGTATTTTTAATACATAAGTGATGTAAATATAAATGGGTTAACAAAATCTGATGCAATATCATTGTACAAACTGCCAATATCTCTCAGAAGCTAAGCATTTTCTTTACTATGGCAAAGAAGGCTACTAATAGAATCATTTTTCTTCTCTTGCTTGATGGATTCAATTGTTTCATTCAGGGAACTTCAATATAGTTAAGAGTTTCTGTGAACACTAAGATAAGATATGGCCATGAGACAAAACCAACACATAGCTATAAATATTTCTTCTGAGGAAACTTGCAGAATAATCTGACCTTAGATTTAAATCTAAATGTAATTGTAACTCAGAATTTAGCATATCTGTATTTTTTTTTTAATATAGCTTGTATGGTTAAAATGTATGAGGATTATACCAAATTGTGTATACAAAAATAAATTGGTAAGCATTAGGTAAGTCCAATTTTGTTAATTCCTATAATTTAAGTGTACTAACGAACCTAATAACTAATATTTTAGTAAAGAAAATGAGCACCTATTAATTTATCTTTGTGGTTAAGTTAGTTTTATATATTGGAGACATTTTATACGCATATAACATTTTAGATATTTCTCAAGATTTATTCGTTACACTGTCAGTAGGAACTTTCTTTTAAAATTTTTCATATAGAATATCACAATAGTTGGTGATAATAAGAATACCTCAGACATATTGTGGGTTTGGTTCTAGACCACTGCAATAAAGTGGATGTCACAATAAAGTGAGTCAAATGATTTTTTTGGTTTTTCAGTGCATATAAAATTTATGTCTATGTTATACTGTAGTCTATTAAGTGTGCAATAGCATCATATCTAAATGCAATGTACAGACCTTAATTTTTTTTAATTTTTTTTATTTTTTAAAGATTTTATTTACTTATTTGACAGAGAGACACAGCGAGAGAGGGAACACAAGCAGGGGGAGTGGGAGAGGAAGAAGCAGGCTTCCTGCTGAGCAGGGAGCCTGATGTGGGGCTTGATCCTAGGACCTTGGGACCATGACCTGAGCCGAAGGCAGACGCTTAACGACTGAGCCACCCAGGCGCCCCTGTACAGACCTTAATTTAAGAATACTTTAT